GTTGCTGATATGCAAGAGAACTTTGAACATGAAGACGATTACTGTCTAAGCATGGCGTCATCGGCTTAACACTGCAACCTCCTTGTGGGGAGAGAAGCCTCAAAATTCACGTACCTTCCGAATCTAATCACGAAGAACATATAATCTGCACTGTCCTGGGAAGCACTACTATAAAATCAGAGTCAATCATAGAGCGACACACAAACAAGCCATTGCCTGATACACTGGCGCAACAGTAGTAACGTATATTTGTACGGTAGTACGTGTTCGTCAACACAGGTGTCCCCGGCTTCCGTCAACATACGACGTATGTGCAGACGTAGTCTCTGAACAAACTTCAAATATTGACACTGATTTGTGTCCTATTAATGCACGCAGTACGTATACAATATGTACCTCAAGAAATGTCTGAAGAACCGGCCAACAAAATGGGACGGCTTAGAAAGAGATAACCTTGCTTTCTCCTGCTGCTAACCATGGAATCAGAAGACCCACCACTTTCATGTTATCTACAGCACGGTATCAGGTATGAGCTTCGGAAATTTGGCATATAATTAACAGAAGATATGTTACGTAAAAATCGAAAACCGGTTTTCAGCAGCCAGACTTCGGCTCGTTCAAGAGCGATTAAATTACAAACTGAATACCTCAAGAAACGACAAAGAAACACAGAAAACTACTACCTCATACGAATCGATCACAGTACCATCGAAATCTCGAATTCAAAAGTTTACAATTATTACGAAAATACCACAGTTTGCCGCCACGTCGCAGTCATAACCATGTAAAACGCCAAAGAATTTGTTCTTGTTACAAAGAAAGTCCTCGAAATGGAAATTATGACAGATGACTGTGAATAAAAAATGAAGCGATCCAATGGCAACAACGAAAGAGCGGTGAAAAAAACTTCTCTCAAACAAACAGAATTTCACGGACAGCCATGCTTAGAATGATTTGACACATTTCATTGCTGTAAATTTTATTTACCTCCGTAGGATATTCAATGTCTTCGTACATTTCCACAACACGCCTGCTTCTGCATTTGATTCCGATTCTGAGAAGTTAATCGATAATATTGATTACAGTATTCCACATTCGGAATAGTACTAAGAACTTAACCTGAGGATCATGCGCTACAAACAGAATTTGCAAACGAAATTGACAGCTTACTCTTTGAAAAACATTGTGAACGAAACCTGTTTGCCTGTTTCTATTAATTTTTATTAGTTGTTTCCAGGTAGAATAGTAATATCTAAAGAAGACTGATGTTGGTTAAAAAAGTGTTGTATTTTGTGGCATTTTTAAGCCAAAGTCGTTGGAAGTTTTTACATGTATTATGCTTTGCAGAAATGCTTCTCTGTGCTCTTTGAAATTTAAGCGCCTTAGCGCATAAACGTTTTCATGTTCATGATGCATCCTACTTTTGAAAATTTAAAGATGGGAAAACTTTATAAGCTGCTCGAAAAAAACAAAGTTGTTTACAAAAGTGACAGATAAGTAAGATCAGCGGACATTTGGAGTCATACGCATTTGTAAGTTTGCTAGGCTAGTAAAGATGATGGCGAAAACCAAATGCCGTCCCCACTTTACAGAGGAATAAAGTTGCGACTGGCTGACAAAGGCATTTCTTTATTTTGCTGGTATTTATTCCCATTTACATCTTGTGCGAAGGTTTGGTAAGATATCAGATGGGTCAAAACGACCAACAGCAGAGTTTCACCCAGTAGGCAGTATGCTTTTGATATAATTCAACAAGAACATCATGCTTTCCCTATTGTTCGCACATCAGCGACTCGCCAAAGTAAATTTTAATATCGCGCTTGCAACTGTAATCCGATATCATAGATTATCAAGCAAAGTACTAATCTATTCATCCACTGCCCCAAATGATTTGTTACGGTCCGTCATAGCTTATTATACTGCTACAAAATGGTCAGTCTCTCATCTCTCACTTCCTGTAGCACATAGGCACTGAATTTCACACAACATTTCTATATTTCTCAACTGCGTTTGGGTACATCGATCGACTGTTGACGCCTTGAGAACAGGATAAGGGAGAGTAAAAGTGTTCAGTCGAAGAATTGCTACGATTTTACAACCTTGTTTGCTAAGTCGCCTGTGCAGCAGACCAAGTTTTGAGCAGTTATCATACATTAAAAATTAGGGTTCTGTCAATTTGGCACTCTACGATTTATCTTTCACACCTTTGTCCATAAACCGACTAAGTCAAAGCAAAGTAAAGATTTGCCATTTTCGGTGGACAAAGGAATGAAACATCGGTTAAACCTGTTCAGAAATAAGTTTAGTTTCAACTGTTAATTCACAAATTACTCCAGCCCTTTACCGCTAAAAGATTATTATAATTAGTACATAATGTTCAGTACCTTAAATTACTTTGGAGCTATTTCAGATGTAGATATGGACGTTAAAGTTATCTGCTAAAATAAATCTATATGTACGTAGTCTCCCTTGAACGTACTTAATTGATATCGTGACGAATGAGTTGAATGCAATTCTTTACAGCGTATCGTAAAAATTTTCGATTTGGCAGGTGCTCGGCGTCGATTATACGTCGATGTTTACATTCCGCTCGAGCGCCTAGCGTTCTTCAACATGTGTCCTCACTCTGCGTGATTGTGTACTCGCACAAAAGCTGCGAAGTTGAATAGCGTTGGCGAACTGACGCATATCAACTTACTAGGAAGCATCAGAACAGAGTGGACCGACATGAGGCTTAGCTATAGTTTAGGTAGAAAGATGCAATTTTTCATTAATTAGCAACTTCACGGTAATAAGTTTGCTGAACCTGATTTGTTGAGCCAGATAATAGGGAAAAGGGTGAAAGGCGACTTACCGAAAGTAACTTTTTAATGTCAAAACACATGGTATGTCAAAACTGAACGTTATCTGTTGAAACATGGAATGTTTTTAACGAATCCTGTTTTCACGTGGAGCTAAGCTTGGGTAGAAGGGAGAAAGAGAAAGACAGCAACATGCTGAGTGACTAAAAATTAAATTGGAGCCGATGATGTAAGCATTATTACATGAGGAATTTCTCAGAGAAACCTGAGAAGAGAAGCAAAAGAATTGAATTAGTGAACAAATCTCATCCGGTGAAGTTTAGGAAGCCTGAGGTTAATTTAAAAACTCCAAGGACTTCGATTCGGATGGAATCTTCGTACAACAGTAGAAAGAATCAGGCTAGAAAAATTGCTTAACTCAATGCACTTCTGATAAAACTTTGGAATGCGGCAAGTCTGTACAAACATTGCGAAAGATTATTTCAGTGGGAATATGTCAAATGAAAGTTGGCATATTGACAGGGAAAAACCTTCATTTGTATTATAAAGCTGTATACAAAATTATTATAGTGCTGACGAAAAATGCTGCGGAAAGAGATCGATAATTGGACTTTGTTATCAGATTGGTGAATGACACGTCATTTCAACTCCAAAATTGAATTGAAAAATGTACAGAGAATGGAGGAAAGATATTTTATAGACAAAAACGTGCGATATAATGCTAAGATAGACAATATAATGAAATATCACAAATGTGCCAGTAGACAGAAAAGCATATTTTGCTTCATAAAGAAGGGCATTGCTGGACTACAATAAAAAACACAAACAGTGAATATGGAAAATTCCCCTCTCGCTTAGAGGATGTCATAAGCAAATAATGAGGTCGTTTCTCTACTCGATGGCGATGAGCGAGGCGCTAATTTCCTACACGGAGCAAATCCTGAATGCAGATTATTTAGTATTCTGCATCCAAATTAAGGAAATATTGTAGGCAGAAAAGGTAGTATAAACAGCAGTTCTTGAAAAAAGACGGCTTTGTTACAAGATTAATATGAGCAATTAGTTGTCGGGCTATTTCAGAAGAGAGGCCAGAGACAATGTCAACAATTCAGTCACGGTGCCGAGCCGTCTGCTGCTTTAGGATTCAAATACTGAAGCTTTCTGGTTTGTTGACTTCGTTATAAAAGAGAGTAGAGGAATCGACAACGATTAAGGAAATCGACCTAACGAGGGTAATTTGAATGAATACTTTTCAATGAAAAGTGAAGCTCATTTACGTCATCTGAATCTTAGTTCACGATAGTCAAAGTCCATTGTTGTCGCTTGGCAGTTGTTGACTAAGTGAGATATTACCATGATACACCCAGAAATGAGTTTACTTCAAATATTCAATCGACAGTTATTCAGCGTGTCTTGACCTTGATTATGCAGAACCGATTGAGCAATGCATGATACATCAAGACCTGGCTGAGGAGTTGCAGTATCTTTAACGCGAGAAAGGCTCGTCATTGTCGAAAACGACTTTCCGTCCGTCACTCGGTTATGGTCCTTGCAGTAAGTTCGCCACACTCTCACTGAACTTCTTAAATGCATGTCGGATGTTTGTCCAAATTAAGAGGGCCTTAAGCATTGCTAGATCAGCAGAAACACAAGCATAGCTTACGTGGCTTCATTTTCATTAGTGTAAGTTCACACCTTACGGTTCATTTACAAGGAAAGTTAAAAATCAATGAGTCAGCACAGGCCTGTCAGTTGATGGACGTCGGTATGCATATATTCTGATCGATTGAGTTATTTACCTTATTCCATGAGGGCATAATTTAACCGCTGATCTGTTCTGGTCGTGTGGGCGTGATCAAGGTCGTTGCTGCACCCCGGATTTTTCCAACACGATCGTTCTCCATCGTTATCGGAAGGGTAGTAAAAAACAGAGGAACAACTTCGCTACACCCTGTATGAAGAAACCGAACTGACGTCGACGCCTGTCTCGACCAATGACCGTCCTGCCTCACCTGTACGGGTTCGTGTTCTTTGCGTGGATAAACGTCGAGTCGTGTGTTTACTCAACTCGGGTCGCTTTGTTGACTCGACCCTGTTGAATAGACTGATTCGTTCGAAACTCGCACGAAACTCGAAGTTATACGCATTTGCCAACGACTCAAAAAGTGACAAATTTGGTCGGTCGGTCGTTCTTCGCCGATGCGACTCGTTACTCCGGTTGTCAGAAAAACTTACCTGCCAGCCAAACGAGCGTTGCTCCATTCGTCGCCGTGTACATGTGAAGCGTGCACCGGCTTTGACAAAAAAGCCGAAAGTACGTTCGTTTTCAGTGCCAGTTGCCGAGGCGGCAGAGTGATTTGTACAACGGCCGCCGGCCAGCCAGACAAGCCTATGACGATTGCCCATGGCATCCCTACGGACTACAGCCGATTAATGGAATAGATCCGATGTGCTTAATGAACGGAACTTATTAAGTTACCATATTTATTATGGTCATATTTATTATTTCAATTTATGTGCCTATTCAATTAGCCGGTGCAACGGGACAGTCAGTCAGTTTGGCTGGTCATATCCTTTGCTGATTTGTCACACTTAACAATCAGCAGGATCATAATTAGAAGCAACTCCTCACATTAACTAGCGACTGTCGACGATCCTGCTAATACAACTGGTTGCTTACGGCTATGTTAATTGTGATCGATGATGCTACCGGTGTAACTGCGAAACGGATAGACAGTGAACGTCTTAATAACATACATATCTGATCTCCTGGGCCATAAATCGGCAAGCTTATGGGTTTATTAAACGGATTCCAAAACCGAAAACATGTGATCTTGTTCTATTGTTTCGAAACGTCTCTTTTTGGCCATGAGGCGACCTAACAGATTTTGATCAAAAGAATGGGAAGAGCCTATTACTTCTAGAAAGGGAAAAAATCAATCACATTTGGCATGTTGAAGGAACAGGTAATCAATGAACAGAGCTAGAACGCTATCAAACTAATTTGCTACTACTGCTATTGGACAGGGTCATTTTCCAATTCATTGTTGCCAAATAGACATGATCTTTCGATACACCTTTGAAAATCGTGTGCTTCTGTTTTGAAAAAAAAATGTTTTAGTTTATACCCATATGACCTATGTAAATTTGAGTCTTGCTATGGAAACGATAGACAGTTACGACATAACCGATTGCGTATTACACGCAATTTTGTTGTACGACTGTCTGTACTGATTTACTGTAGCCTATTTGAAAATGATTGTCAGGATAACAATGTGAAATAATGGTAAATTCACTTCTTATGTTTTATGACAGTACTTAATGGACTTAATTTATTTCCCTGTGAGATTGATGTACAACCTGGAACGTTAATCACCGTCGTATTGGTTGGAGAAAGTCGGAAAAATCCAAATGAAAATGTTGTACTTAATTACCGCAGAATAACTGCTGCTGACTCTAAATCACGTAGATATAAATGCATCTACTGGGTGTGTGCACACATCTGTGCACTTTTCCATTAAAGTACCTTTTAGTAACGTCATTTGCAGAGTCACACGTATCAGCTGCCACCCATCGAGTAGGCATAATGGCGTTTGCATGTCTGACGGCGGTTGTCTCGCAGTAGTTCTTTGTCAGTTGTTTCGAGCTCCTTCGGTGATGAACACAACGACCCTTCGACGACAGCCTTATCCAGGAAACCCGAAAACAAACTTTTCATATTGTCGCGCATTCCTCAGCCTTTACAAAAAAACTGAGGAAGCTCTCTCGAAGTCAAAATTGTTGATTTCATTCGCATATTTTGCAAAGCTTTGCGACAGAGACAATTTGCTGACGAAGTCAAGAATCTGCCGTGCTTTCCGTAATTTACTCGCTGTGCTGATTATCACACTTGACAGACGCCAATTTTATATGAACACCATATGAATTATTTTTTTTAATTCGCCGTTTGATTTCATGTGGAAATTAGAGTTTTGATGTCAAGATATCATAAAGCTTAGATCTGTGTTTGAACACAAAAATAACTTGCCTGCACATAGTTAGCCTTGGAGAACCATGCCAATTTTGATTACTGTATATTCTTTTACAGTCAGCTTGCTGGAGACATTTCAACTTCAAAATCATGAGCTGATTTCTGGCAACAGACTTGAGGAAACTCTCTTGTATTGTGCGACATATCGATTGCATGATCAACGTTCGTCTGCTGCAAGTATGATTCTCAAGAGATTTAAAAAGCGGGAAACAGTATACTATTATTAGCAATATATTATTATTATCAGCATATTGTTATTATCAACCACAATAATTGCATGAGCATAGTGTAAATTTTAAGCACGTTTTCAAATGAGAGTGTATGAAGTTGCAGCGATGACTTCCCCTGTAGCCATATCTCGCCAGAGTTCACCATATGAATGGAAGAAACGAGAAAAATGAGTGTAAATGCTAATTCCTGAGGCGCCTGGAAAGGAAGTTTATTTTTGCATGTGCTAAGCTTTGTAAGTAATTTCTGAAAACTGCGGGCCATTTTCTGTCGATAGAAAGCTGTCGCCCAGGCAAATAAGCTTGATTGATTGATTCCATGATTCGCTGATAATCAGAATATACAAGACTGAAAAAATGAACACATGGGGCCATTAAACCAGCTTAATATACAAAAATCAATGGTAGATGTCCGGAGTATCCCTGTAATCACTGTAACGCATCATGCTTGGGCATTGAAATCACTATCGTTGTGCGAACAGCACATTGTGATGC